AGGAGGAAACAATAGCTTTACATTAATTTTGTAAACCCAAGCATAGACTTGATCCAAGAGAACACTCATCTCCAGCAGAGCACAAACAAGTTCAGTGAACCAGCATGGATGGGAGCTTGCCTAAAGGAGCAAGAAGTTTCCTGGTGCGAGGACTGGTTGTTCTGTTCTTTTGGAGCCAGTGATCTGCTTCAGAGCATAAGGTCCTCAGGGCTCCTGTAACTTTGTACATACCTTGTCCTATGTATCCACATAATGGACACATAGGAAAGAAGCATCTAGAAAGACAAGCTATAGCTCAGGTTGTAAAGCACAATAGTCACAAGCTTATTTAACAAATATAGGTTTTTGTTTAATGTTTAAGTCCTTACCTAAGCATAACTATATCTTTGCGTTAATTTCTCTGTAAATAGGTTGTCATAATGCTTTTCACAATGTAGTTATCAGTGCTTTTAGATTCTCCAGAAAGGTGCTCTCAGTACAGATTATTTGTTTATATGTTAATATTTTTGGTAATTTTGCAGCAAATATTGTTCAGATAAAAATGTCATTAAGGTAAACCTCAGTGACTCACAGCTGCAGTATGGGGATTCTGAATGTTTGATAGGCTGGATAAGACTCCTAATCTACTTGGAGTTTAAGGTCAGGTAATTCTCTGTAGATCTTAGCTTTAACCAATAGCTTCTCATATTTCCTCTATAACCTTTTAATGTCTAGATATGGATCTTACTGAATTATTGGGAGTAGGAAGTTGCCAATTGACATCTTCTGATTAATGCACTTGAAATCAGAATTTTCTACGCCACTAACCACTTTTACTTCAAGTGTAGTATCCGAGTTCATTAGAGGAGAGGTGCATCTATTTCTGCAAAAGAAATGCTAAGGGCCAAGTGCAGAATGTGAAGCCTCACTGTGGTCAATTGGCAGCTACCTTACTACTGAACTTTCAGTTTTATGAATATTGGGCATATTGCAAACAAACCATTCCAGTTCCTAAAACAATTCACTAGAGGATGAAAGGGCAATGTGGCTAAAGTGTCTTGCTATGGGTCTGTAGGTATCAGGCACAAGCAGGGTAGAGATATACTTTATAGATTAACTAATCAAAGATGCATACATTGTTACTATCATCAAGCTTTGTTCTGGAGTCATGCTGGAAGCTGTCCCCAGTTTACAGCTGTAAATGGATAAAGTATTAGGTTATTTGGGCAAGTGCAGCCAAAGGCAGCTAGCCCTAATGCCAGCAATATCCTTCATGTAGAACCACTGTTCCTCAATGATGTAGACTTCGTGGCCTACCTCAGCTAAGGATGACCTTTGGTCTTAAAAACAAAAACAAACGAGCCCCCCCACCTCCCCCGCAAAAAAAATCAAAGCCGTAAGTGGCACCTTTACTGAAACACATTTTTTGAAATTCACATATATTCTGATATCTCCAGTAATGTCCCCCATTGAGCTCAGCTCCTAGTTGTCATTTTATAGTCTTTCTTTTGAAAGGGTTTTTTTGGACTCTTTGATTACTTTGACTTCTCTTTTGTTCCTGAATACATTACCTTTTCTGTGCAATTGCCTCAGTGCAGTTCACAGTATTCTTCCTATGATTGCAAAATTCTTTTCTTCAGGTCTTGTCCTTTCTTAGCACTGTAATGGGGGATTGAGAGTTTTGTGAGTTTTCCGATTTCTAGCAGAAATGTGATTTGATTTCGTTAAGGCTTACTATGAGTAAGTCAGGCAAATAACATCAAATGTCATAAGAAAGTCCTGGCAGATATGAAAAATAATTGCTTAAAAATGTCTTACAAATGGTAAATGTAGTCTAGATTTTTTTTTTAAAATCCTTAAAGACAATTACGTGTTGTTCTGCTCTGAATTACTACATTTACCCTCATACATGGCCTGCCACTCTGTGGAATTTTCAATGTTGTGTTAGACACTAGTTGCCATTTTTTTTCTGGTGTTTGGTTGACTAGAAAACTTAAATTACTACAAGTATTTTAACAGAATAATGGTCAGTATTAATGATGCGAGAAGCAAGCTTTATTTAGTGTTATTTTTTACTGGGCCAACTGTAACACTGAGAGCAACATCTCTTCCAGCTATGCAGTTTTCTCCCAAATATAGTTGGTACAATAAAAGATATCACCAAAAGAGCCTTGTTTCTTTCATATTTATTGGCTTATAACATCACTCCAGTACTGCAGCATTAAATTCTCTAAGATGGTTAATTCCTAGTACGAGTTCTCTGAAGATTAATGGTAAAATTAATTAAATGTTTGGGCTTCATAGGCATTTTCACAAGTACATTCCAGACATCCTGGAACCTAAGTGATTCCCTACCAGTGCAGTGATCTAGAAAGGCTTTTTCTGTCTGTGACTCAAATATGTATGAGCATTTTATGGAAAAGGGAACAACTTCAATGGGAGACAATAAAAGACCTTGTTAGTAGGCCTGTGCAACTAGGGAAGTATTCGATTTGGATTCGGCCGATTCAGAGGGCAGTGATTTGATTTGGAGATTGGGATCACTGTCCTGAATTGATTCCACTGAGTCAGCTTCAGAAGATTTGGTGCTGCTTCGGAGATGCTCAGTGATTCGGATAGGCTGGGGAGTGGCAGGCACAACCAGGTAGCTGCAGGTTCTCCTGCATCTCCTCCGGCTGTGCCTTTCCCTTCCTGGGTGGGGGGAGCTGCAGGAGAAGCCCCCACAGCTGCCTTGCCTGGCCCCATCTCCTGCCCAACCCCAGCCTCACACTCACTGGCTGCAGCAGCGGTGACTGGGGCTTCTGGGGGCTCATGGCAGAGCCACCCATGCAGTGATGGGCAGCGGGGATCATCCTCCCACTTGGCACCTGTGTGGTAGCTGTCACGCTGCATGGGTGCAGTGCGGCTCAGCAGGGCACCACACACTGTCTGGGAGCTGGGGCCAATGGTGCTGAGTGGTGCCAAGCTCCAGCTGACATGTGGAGCCACCTCAGCTCCCAGACTGTGAGTGGCACCCTGCTCAGCCGTGTTGCACTCGTGCCATTGGGCAACTGCCATGCAGGTGCCAAGAGGGGGAGTGATCCCTGCTGCTCCACGCTGTTCAGGGGGGCTGTGCCATGAGCCCTCAAAGGCCCTGATCACTGCTGCTGCAACTGGTGAGCGTGTGGCTTTTTTTTTTTTTTTTTTTTTTCAGTGCTGGCAGCCTGGGTTGGACAGGGCAGTCATGGGGGTTTCTCCCAGAGCTCCTCTGGCTGTGCCTGCCTCTGCCCCAGTGGTGGGAGCCACGGGGGCTATGCCCTGCTGCCAGCTGGTGCGGGAGGGCTCGGGGGCAATGCAGGCGTGGCTCACTCTGAGTGGCAGCAGGGCATAGCCCCCACTCTCAGTGCTGCCAAGCACTTGGAGTGGGGGTTATTCCCTGCCACTGTTTGCCAGCCAGCGCGGAATGCAGGCACAGCAGCACTGGGAGTGGGGCTATACCATGCTGCCACTTACCCGCTTCCTCCTGGAGTGAGCTGTGCCCATATCCCACCCCAGCTGGGCAAATGGCAGCAGGGGAGAGCCCCCGCTCTGAGCACTGCCTTGCCTGCATTCCACCCACTGACCTCCCTCCCCAAGTAACATGCCCCCCACCCCAGCTGGGCAGCTTGTTCCAGCCCCAGCCCCAATCCCTCCCTCCCCCATGCCCCTTCCCTCCTCCCTCTCCCAACCCCAATGGACTTATGAGCTGGAGGCAGCTATGTCAGCTGCCTGTTGAGTCAATGGCCAAATCTCTGAAACGGCTGAATCTTTTCCAGAGCTTTTCTGAATTGATTCAGATGCTTTGAATCGATTCAGAACATTTAATTGGTCTCCCAATTCTATTCAGTTTTGGAGCTTTGCTCCCCAAATCAGGCTGAATCTCCTCCAAATCTAATCAGCTACCAAAGCTTTGCACATCCCTACTTGTTAGGTCTCATGAGAGACTGTTTCAATATCTGCTCTTACCCAAGCAAAGAGGGAGCACGTACTTCAATCTGTAGCATCCCAGCTGAATGTTCTAACTAATGGTAGGGGAAGAAAATGCCATGGCCACCATCTTCACCATCACTGTTGCCATATTCTGTTAACGCGATTATTCTTTTGTAAATAGACTGCTTTGTTTTTAGTAATGTACCTAGAAAATAAATGAAGAACTTCATTTTAAATCAAAGGAAACATTTAGATGTTTTGGAAAAAATCAGACTTGGGTTGACGCAATAGTTAAACCAAAATGAAAAATCAACTTTGTCACATAACCTCTACAAATATGACATGGACATGGTGAGATGGAGACGATCTTTGAATGAATGGAGTAATTTTCAGATAATTTTTAAGCTCAGCTCTAAAAGTAGTTAGTTATATAACATTTATTATGGTTTAAGATCAGTAAAGCTCAACTGAGGAATATTACTCTCTAAACCACTACTTCAGCAAGTAATGTTGCACACTATTCTTGTTTTTTAATGTGTTTCATGAGAAATACCTAATGTTCCAGGAGACCTACTGAAAACTGAAATTATAGTGCAGTTGTTCCTTGTTATAAGTAAAGATGGGTACTAAATTTTCTTAGCTTGACTGAATTATGCTGCTACATTATTTCCTGTGCTCAAAGGTTTTTAGATTTATCATGGTCTTGAAGTAACCCTGAGACATAAAGAGTCCTAACTTACTGGAGACATCTATGCTTCAGTAAACAACAACAATCCCTCCCTCCCATAAACAGTAAAACTTTCTCTAATAACATTTGAATTTAAAATTACTCTGAGACATTCATAAGCATCAGTAGACACATGGGTGAGGCCTCTTTGTAAACTGATAATTAGTTGATGTAATATGAGTGACAGCCTTTTGTTTCTGAGTATAAATGGTGCTGAGAGGATAGGTGATTAATGTTTGCAGGCAACCAGAGATCATCCAGATTTTGTCGGATCTCGTCCACCTTGCTAAGGCGCAAGTTGACATAGTGCTAACCTGCTTGAGAGACTGGCTGGTTTGCAAGAAAAATGGAAGGTGAGTGCTCTTGAGTTTTAATGCCACATGATTTAGAACTGGAAGCAGGGGCAAAGAAAGTCGAGCAGCATAATGCATCTGTTAAAAACCTGGGGAAACTCTTTGTTTACTGCTGATCCTGATTCATGAATTCAAGTCAAGAGATATTTTCCATGGTTCAAATTCTCTTAAATGTGATTTTTTTTCAGAAAAAAAATAACATTCACTAGGATTTGAATCTTATAATTTGAAAATGAGAATTTTTTTTTCTAAAGGAAAATCACCAAGAACCAAAACAAAACCAGACCAGAAAAGCTTTCCAAAAAACTTACAGGCCTTATGAGGAGGAGTTGGTAAAACAATTTTTGAGAGGTATATAAGAGAAAATGATATTTTAAAATGTCTGCAAAGCCCAAAGTAAAAATATTTAATATTTCCAGGCTATATGTCCAGGTGTGTTAGAGATAAATCCCCACTGTTGAGAAAATGAACAGGGAATGTCAGGGGTAACATTTTCATTGGCCAAAGAAAACCATTAGGAGGTATCAGAGCTGACTATCTTTTAGTATTTGCACTCAACTATTTTTTCTGTAAGAGAGCAACTGTTAGAGCTCTACCCTAAAAATATATTCTGTCTATGCCATTCGGGTCTCACTGTTGCCTTGTGAGCCATCATATGGGATTTCACTGAGAAGTTTGTGGGTAGGCCATTCAAATCTGATCTGGGTTCCACTGGTCTCTTTGCCCCAGTTCAGCAGAATTCAGCTCAACGTAGTATGAATATTCTACTTTTTGTCTTGGTTGACAATCTCTTCCAGGGAAAAGATGAAGATACTGTTAACTGTTGGGTTACTGATTTGCTTAGGGGCTTGTTTAGAATGGTTTTGGCCCTTTTTACTGAGAAATGTTTTGGGTTTTAGGTTGACAGTTCCCATAAAAGCATCCATTATAGGAATTTTTCATAGAGGTTTTCATAGAATTCCATTCTGTCCCTCCTGGTTATTCAACATGTGTGATACCTTTAGGAATGTTAGTAAATAAATATTTGTAGTGGTTCCATGTGTGAACGGGACTGAGCTCTGTTTTTGTCTCTCAGCTGACTCGCGCTGAACAGTTGAATGACTTACCCTTTACCAAATTAAGGTGAGGGATCTCTAGTTGATAGTTTAGGCAAGGTTAAAGTAATGGTTTTGGTACAGTGAAACAACCAGGATAAATGGAAGAAATTATTTCAGTTTCCTTATTTGCAGGAGTATTCATAACCACTCAGGATAGCTGCATATATTAGGATATCTGTGTGACCAAACAGAACTTAGCTAGCACTTCACAAGGAAAATGGCACAGGAGGTACCATGGCACTAGGTGTTCAGTAGTCATAGCTCTCATTGTTTTCAGTTAAAGTGAGAGTGCTCAGCAATTTTAAAAATCAGGCCAAATTTTTACAATTAAAAAAGAACTCTGATTCTCATCTCCATAGACTGAGGAATTGAGTCACTCTGCTAAGGCTGCTGACATACAAACCTTGTCTGACTGGATAATCTTGTCTGACTTGCTAATCATTCAAGTTTTTAGTCAAGTCATCAGAGCTGGTAATTTTGTCAAATTTTGACTTAAACTTACAAAGTTCTTTAAATATTTTCCCCTAATTTTCACCAGCTTCTCCATATTTTAATGAACTACCATCTTATTTGTACTGCAAAAAAATGTAATATTCAAAACTGACAGGACATTCTGGGTGCCTCACTTCCTAAAGACTTACCTGGGTTGCCTTAATGAGACCTAATTTTTGTTTCAAATTGATTACTCGCAAATGGAGGCACACAACATTTCTAGTCATTTTTGCAAATGTAGATCTAGATAGTGATAAGTTACAGATTTGTTTGCCTGTAATTTATCCTTCAGCAAAGTCCCCCCACAAGAATTCATTGTCATGGACAGCTACAGTGACATAATTTGCTTACTCTTCCATCATATATTATTATTTATTTGTATAAATGTTAACTCTAAACTAGTATTAGCATGCAGGAGTAAAGAATTAATTGCAGTGTAACTTAGGTACCTTTAAATAATTGTTTAAATCTATTTGGAATAGTACAATAATAATTGTTTAAACAATAAAAATTATTTAAATAAAATTGGAAGTATTGGAATTGGAAATGGCATTACATCACAAAGTCTGTTTTTAAAGCGGTGATAACAGTATGTACCGGCCTGGTGTCAGTTATGTACCAAATAAAAGCATGGAACCTGGGTCTCCTGACACAATTTTATAAACCAAAATATTAGATACGTTTCTTTGTGCAAGACATGGAATAGGGAGAGAAGACACATACTTCAAATGAAACTGCTTCTTAATGTCTGGTTTAATCCCAATAAACAGTTTCACAGTATTTTCATAGACTCTGCCACACCCTGTTCCTTAGCTAGCTTCTAAGAATGAGCCTATGTTGCTTTGATCAGTTGCCAGGCAGCGTATCCATTTTTTCTTTCTGCCCCAGGGTATTTTGACATCAGCCAAATGTGTCCTCAATTACGTGTCTTGTTTGGTTTCTCTGTCTTTAATGACTTTTCCTGCAGTTATTCAGCTGGGGGATGTTGACCTGAATTGTCCTCACAACTGCAAATGCCATAACACCCATTTCTTCGGTACTGACAGACAGATAGTGAGGAGAGGCCAGGCCTTTGACTTATATGTGCATTTCCAAAACCGGGAATGGGATAACTCCATGGACAAGATCTCATTCACTGTAGAGACAGGTAATCACCACAAAATTCCAAAGACTCTTTCCTGATTCCTTATTGATAAGTGATATTCTCTCATTTGCCAAATGCATAGATGAATTAATTTTCCCTCAGTCAGATTCTTTATGCACCTCAAGTAGTATTGTAATCTCCCCCTCAACAATTCTCTGCAATTGTAAACAGCACTAAGAGAATCAAGTGTAAAAGTAATGACACTTAAAATGCAAATGATGTTTATCCCAAAATGTGCCTGTTGACTATGGCATATTTGATTTTATTTACATTTATATTTGACTTTCCTGAAAAGGCCTCGGACCTTGTGAATCCAAGGAGACGAAGTGTACCTTTCCTCTGGGCAGATGTATAGATCAAACCTGCTGGAGTGCTTGCTACAAACCTCATCAGCAACGATGCATAATCATCAGTGTGTTTCCACCAATAGACGTCTGTATTGGCCGCCACATTCTCAGTATGAACATCACATCTTGTGATCGCACATTTCAGCGGTGCCTTGGAGACTTTGACATCCTCTTTAATCCTTGGTGTGCTGGTAAGGAAGCTGGTAGACTGTTTGCAAATATAAACTTCATAAAAACCTGGTGATTAAAGGAGAGAAGATTTGAAGTTAAAAATATATACTCAATAGAGATGAATTTGAGCTGCAGAATTTCAGGTTCAGATTTTGCATGATTTTCTTTTCTTTCTGCAAGACCAGGGAGAAATACCAATCTAGATTTTGAATGCTCCAAAATCCAGGGATATTGAGGCAGAATTTTGGTTTAGCCTGTTTGGTTTGGCCTGATAGTGGTGCTATACAATAATGTTCTTGCACTTCTCCAGTGCCTTCCTTATAATACCTCTGGCTGCATCTACACATTCATTAGTGTACAGTAGTTACTGCACATTTAATTTAGTACTTGCTTAACGAAGTCCTAAGTAAAAGTGCAGTAGCTACATTTACTGCACAGTAGTACTGGCAAATGCCTTTTTAGTGATGCCTGCTAGCAGCCTATTAGCACTGTCCATGCTGTGATACATTGCTGTGCAGTGTTTTTAGTAGGGGTGTGCAAAGTGGGCCATATTCAATTCAGATTCGGATTCAGCCCACTCGGGGGACAGTGATTCGATTCGGATTCAGCCCAACTCGGGGGACAGTGATACAATTTGTTGATTCAGATCACTGTCCCGATTTGATTTGGCCGAATCCGAATCTGAAGATTTGATGCTGATTCAGAGAATTAGTGATGCGGCCATAGATACAGCTTTAAATGTTTTTTCTACATACCTTGAGGTAGCAGATGCGGCTTGTGAATGCTGCAATGGTGGGTTGGGTGGAACATCCCACAGGAGTGTGGGGGTCCCCCCTCAAGCTCGGCGGTGAACCCAGAAGTGGATCAGAAGTACTTTTGATCCACTTCCAGGTCCACTGCTGAGTGCACAGGGAGGTCCCCCTGAGCCGCCCCGGCTTGGCGATCGGCTGCAGGGGGACCCTGGGTGCCCCCCCAGACCCAGGAGGCACCAGTCACCAAGTCAGGTGGCGGGGGGAGTCCCCTGTGTGCTCCATGGTGGACCCAGAAATGGACCAGAAGTGGTTCAAATCCACTTCTGGGTCCACCACTAAGTATGCTGGGCACCACCCCCATTCTCTTGTGGGATGCTCCACCCACCCCACCATCTCAGCATTCACGAGCCACACCTGGTACCTTGAAGTATGCAGAAAAAAACATATAAAGCTGTGTCTGTCTGAATCGTCGAAACTCTCCAAATCAATTCGGAGGGTTCCGATTTGATTTGGAGAGATTAAAGGGTCTCCTGATTCGATTTGGATTCGGAGATTCAGCCACTGAATCGGGCCAAATCTCCACCAAATCGAATCAGTGACCAAAGCTTCGCACAGCCCTAGTTACTAGGTTACTGTGCATTAAGCATCTCATGTAGACATGACCTCTGTGAAGTAAATCAGTATGAACAGAGGGTGAGTACTAGACAGGAGTCAGAAGTTTGGGTTCTGATTCCACATGTTACTACTGAATATAAGTGACCTTATGCATGTTTTGATATGCCAACTATTAAAAAATGGTCTATAAATTTGAGGGCCCAAATTTTAATGCTTATTGTACACCTCAGAGTTAGTTAGTAATCATAATGTCAGTTGAAGGCAGAAGTGCTCAGAGCTTCTGAAATTCATACCCTAAATATTTAAGGGTTGGGTGAGTTGTATTTAAAGAAAATATAATTTGGCAAAAGGCAAGCCTCAAAATATAGTAATATATTAAATGCTTTGTCTCAAATGTCAATCCCTCCCCCCCCCCCCCCCCCCCACACAAAA